AACAGGGAATGTTAAGGGGTGATTGAAGGTGACAGTTGCTGAGGGAAATAGATATGTAGGAGTATAAAGTGATTTTGGATGCTGGCACATGGACTGGGCTGGGGTTTATGGGACCTTTTGCCATCTTTTATAAGGTCGTCAGGCAAAGAAACTACTAGAGATGTGGATAGTTCTCCATTTGCAAATAGAAATAAGAAGACAGAGAGTGCATAAGAGAGCAGATAAAGAATAAGTTAGTAGTCCTTTGGCTCAAGATACTCACTTAAACTCAGCAGTCTCCTGGAATTGAAGAAATGCTCCATAAGTACTTTGCCTACCATTTGAGTTTTCTCAGTAAAATCACTAACCAGGTTTTCAGTCTTATTCACGATGACATTCACTGTTTTCCCCATTGTTTCTAACTCTTGCTTATCTAACACCTTCTTTTCCTTCAAGTCCTCCAAGACGCCACCAAGCACGGTACTTGCAATCACCTTTATCTCGTTAACTGGGTCTCTTGGTGATCTCTTCTCTGTGAGAACAATAGGATTTTAGGAATTGACAGGACATTAGATCTCTGATTTAGGCCCATGATTCTCAAATTTAACAAGGGAGAGAGTATCTGAAAGCGTGGTGAACAGACCTTCCTGCATACTATTCCTAGAAATCTGATTTAGTAGGTCAGAGTAGAGTGTGTTATTTTTATTTCTAATTACTCTTTTGTAGACTCTACCTCCAAAGGAGGTCCAGGTGTCACCAATTATCATCCTCCCCATTAGTAAAACCCCTGCTTAAAGCTATTATCTCTTAACTGAAATATTTGGCCTTTCTGATGCTATGCTTGTTTATCATTCCTCCATTTGAAAATTCCTAAAGACTTTCTATTGCAAATAATATCCAGTTCATTCTCACTTCCACAAAGGCCCAGAGTGGTATGGTAGCTTCAGCATGAGTTCATAACAGCTCATCCTACCATGTCCTCCCAGTTTGCTACTCCCCCATCAGATTGGCCTTATGGCATGGCATGTCCATTTCTGCTCAGCCCCCATGGGCTTGCTGCCCTTTCCAGGGGATGCTTTTGCTTTAGAGTGTGGCACAACCCTCTCCCTCTCTGTTATTCAAGCACGTACTGAAATATCACCCCAAATGAGTTCTCGTAATTATTCACTGTGGCCCACCTGCCTCACCTCTTTTCTCTTGTCCATTTCCTGAATTGTCCTATTTATTTTTCATATGTACTACCTGTGCACCTTCATTACACTGTCAACTCCATGAAAGCAAGATGTTGACCTATCTTGCTTACTGCTAGAAACGGTGATTAGAATGGTAGACAGTAGGTGTTCAGTTCATATGTGTGTATAATGGATACAACAGCGACTAAAGATTACAAGGTGTTCATGCCTTTGTAAGCTTGTCCCGGACTTCTGAAAATATGATACTCACAACTCAACACTCCAGTAGCCCCTTTCTAGACACTGCAATTCCTTGGTGTGGTTCAGTAACTCATCCGTTTCTCTAGTGATCACACAGTGTGTGTGTCTAGTCTTGTGTGTGTGTATGTGTGTGTTTTTTAAGATTTTATTTATTTGACAGATCGCGAGGAGGCAGAGAGGCAGGCAGAGAGAGCGAGGGGAAGCAGGCTCCCCGCTGAGCAGAGAGCCCAATGTGGGGCTTGACCCCAGGACCCTAAGATCATGACCTGAGCTGAAGGCAGAGTCTTAACCCACTGAGCCACCCAGGCACCCCCTGTTGTGTGTTTCTTAACATGCTTTCCTTAACCACATCCTTGGTACAGTTGTACCAACAACTGTTGGTATAGTTGTTACTTGCTTATCTGTTTGATGTTTTGTGAATCTTTTAAAGATGTCATTAATCTCACTGAAAACTATGAGTCTCAGAAAGGTTGGGTCATTCACACCAGAGACCATGGTTAGTCAGTGGCCATGTTGGGCTCAGGGTCGAGATTGCTTGGGTTTTATTCCAGTTCTCTTTCCACTATAGCATATGACTTCCCCATCTGCCTTAGCTCACAGAATGTCACCAAGCATCCATGACATTGCCTGTCACAGGCAGAAGCCGTGTGTGTGGCCTCCAGCCTTCTCCCTAATTTCATGATCTTTGCTTGCACTTCCAGATTCTTAGAGGATGAAAGAGTGGGGATATGAATGCTGACCTTACTTTGTCTCGGGTGGCACAGAAGGAAGAAATAACCCAGAATTTCTGAACCCATCTCTGGTCTCTCCACTGTAACTTAGGGCCCCTATTACTTAGGGCCTTACCCTGAGTGACGCATGAGGGTTTACATGAGCCACTGGGTTTGGTGGCACCTGCCAGAGGGAGAGCCAATGCCTGGGACGGCTTGGCATTTTCTTCTTCTCCACTTTCACTTTCACTTTCACTTTCATCTTCAGATTCTGAAGTGGAATGAACAAAAAGTTAAGGATCAATGCTGAATGCTGAAGGTTATTTCCAGAGATGGAAACTGAGTAAAAACACAGTTTCCTATGTCTTGACTGTAGTGCCTTCTGACAGCCCTGGTGGTCTGAGAGTTTTCATTTGTGATGTGAGATTTGAAGGTACTTACTTGTCAAAGAAGATGTCTTGCCACTCTTATATTCCTCATTCTCATTTTCAGCATGAGATTCTGAAAGAATAGGAAAAGGACATTTGTTAGCAGAACTGGGTTTCTAGAATCTACACACATGTAACTACCTCTCTCTCACAAGAAATTGATGATGTTTGGCCTGGGGTGACCCTATGAAGCATGGAAATCTGGTTCATTGTCTAAGCTCCACGTTTGTCTTAGAGGACTGTGACTTTGTGCCAGGTGAAGGAGGAAGCAGAGTTTCTATAAAACAGTGAAGAGCTCATTATGTTCCTGCTTACATAATTCAAGGAATAATCAAATTCTTTAATCAAGGCTTTTCAGGAGTAGCATTTTTCATTCTGAGGAAAGAGTGTACACACTTCTATAAACTTAGGTAGTCTTTCAGCAACCACAAAATGATCCCAAAAGGATGTCCTCAGTATTGGGAACACTCGCATGTATATATTGTCCTCTAGAGTAGGGGTCAGGAAACTCCGACCTAGAGGCCAAGGTCAGCTCAACAGCAGTTTTTGTTAATAAAGCTTTATTGGAACACATCCACAGCCATTTTGTACTTATTATCTATTGCTAATTTTATGTCATGGCATCAGATTTGAGTCACTGTGACAGAGAAAGTTTGGGCCGAAAAACGTAAAATATTGACTCCCCTCACTCTTCAAAGAGAGAGTGAGCCAACCCATGCTTCCTCGAGAAGGACACACTCGTGTTCCACTAATGCTCCTCAAATTCCCTAGGTACTCCTTTCACAAAGACAGTCTAGGTTCTGAGAGATTTATGCCTTGGGCCAAGCCCCAGCTAAGCAGAAGACAGTGGATTGCTGTATGGGTTTTTTTGTGTGTGTGTGTGTTTTTTCTATTGAGCATTTTATAGGTGGAAATAACTCTGGAGTCTAGAGTGTGGCCAGAGTAGCAGAGATTAGCTAAGGACTGTCCCTGAATTTACTAGAGCTCCAGGACCATTCATGCATTTCACAAGTAATTACTGAGCACCTATAATGTGTCAGGTGCCATTTCCACAAGTTGGGGCTCTCTTGATCAACACAGCAGACAAAGTTCCATGCTTCATGGGCTTTACGTTTTAGCAAGGGGCGATATAATACAGTGAACAGGGAATGTTAAGGGGTGATTGAAGGTGACAGTTGCTGAGGGAA